CAATGTTTAAGGCATGAACCATTTCAGTTCCTGGCAGTGCCAGATAGCATGAAAGTAGTAGCTGTAATGTTGCTTACTACTGTTGTATCTTTTTTGTTCCAAGAGGTAAATATATTTGAAATAACCTGTGAGGTTTTAATACCAATGCATTTTCTTTAGTAGAAATGTAGAGAGCTTTTTGGATAATTGGTTAGCTGAGAAAGGACATTCCGATGTGATACCAATGGATAAGGGTAAGAGAAACAAGCTGGGAACTGAGCAACCGGTGCCTAATTACTGACGAAGGTCACAGTGACCTTCTCTAAAACGGGAAGACGGGGGAGAAAATTGCTTGCCAGAAAATGTAGCTATCCCAAGGTAGAGAAATTAGAAGAATGTACACATAGAAGCAAAATAATTGTTAAGAGATAGAAGTAGGTGTGTTTGATCATAGTGTGCTTTAACCAATAATGAGCTCAGATTTTGCAATATGCATAAGCTTCATTAACACTAATATAAAAATGTGTAAGCTTTCAATAAACTTCGAGATTTGCTATTCATCGCATATGGTGTGTCGCATCTCTCCCGCCGTTACGACAAATGGTGACCCCGGACGTGTTCCTTCGGGACTAGCCATGGTCGGAGGCGTAAAAGTCAAGTGCAGGTCCTTTCGCGGCTGGGGACGGCAAAAAACACCGCTGAAGAAAGAAGGTGTCAAGTGCCCCGGGTGAGCTCAGAGGAGTGCCCGGCTGCTACGTGCTGCCGGACCTGAATAGAGCCGCAAGAAGCGCGCAATCGTCGTTAAAATGGATAAAGACAGGCAAGCAGCATATGATTTATTTACTGACTTTTTACGAGGGCGTCAGATTAGAGGAATAGATTTACAGAAAGAGCTTCCTGGGTTGTTAGCTTATGGGTGTGCACAGGGGTTTTTTCGTAATCCGCATACAGTGCATGAGTTGTCGGAATGGCGTATATTCGGGGATAAGCTGTGGCGTGCAATCATAGATGAGGATAAGACCGCGAAAGAGTTGGGAAATTTATGGCGAGTCGTGCATGCTGAATTCTTGAAATACAAGGCAGAGGAAAGAGCTGCCCAGCAGACTAGTGCAGCCCGTGAAAGCAACAGGAGTTGCAGAGACTGGTTTGGGTCCCCGCCGATACAAGCTCCTGCTCTAAACAGCAGCTCCCTGCAGCTATCGGCTTCTGCCGCGGGCAGCAGCCCCCCCGCGCGTACTCCAGCCGTGCCGTCCGCGCCGCCTGCCCCGGTGTTAAACCCTGCACCGCCTCCGCCTCCTCCCGCTCCGGACCCGCACCCTCCGCCGCCCTGCCGCAGCGCACAGCCCGCAGCCGCCCCGCCAGAGACGCTCGTGCCAGCCCCGGCCCTGGGCGACTCAGCAGCTGCAGCGCGGCCGCCTCCCGCTCCGCAGCCGCCAGCACCGCTCCGCAGCCGCCCCGTACCCGAGCCGAGGGGGGGACGGCAGGACGGGCCTTCCGCCCCCCGTGCGGAAGCGGGCTCCGGTGAGTCCGCCCGCCCCGCGGCTGCCCAGCGCAGTTCTGCTTCCCGGCCACCAGCTCTCCGCGCCCGGACACAGATAGCAGCTATCACCACTTCGGCTAAACCTGCCTTCAGCCCGCAACCGCCGGGAGCCTCGGAGTAGACCTAGCAACAGCAGCAGACAGTGACTTTGGTGACTATTCACCCACAAAAGTCCCAACAGGAGTAAAGAGACCACTCATTATTGATGGATTATCTGTGAGAGTTTTGCTTTTAGGACATTTCTCGGCTACAGTGTTGGGATTGTTTGTTTTATCTAGAATAATGGACGCTGGCTATGTAGGGGAGAGTTCTATTATGCTGTATATTCTTTTTCCACCTATGCGAATCGAACAATGAACTGTTAGATGAACTTTGACCTTTGTTAAAGGGAACTGATCCAGCACAGCCTGTTCGTATAGCCCCTGAACAGGCTGAGACACTGCAGCAGATATTGGACTGTGTTACACAAGGCAGTGTTCAGAGACGTGATTTTGATCTCCCTGTACAGCTGACAGTTTGGTGTAGACAAAAATTTTTTACTGGGTGCACTTACTTAGCATAACAGAAAAACGGGGGAGATATGGGCCTTGGAATGGATATCTCCTCCACTTCAACAACATAAAACTCTTTTTCAGAAAATTGAAATTTTAGCTGATTTGTTCAAAAAAGGTCGTGATAGGACAGTGGGGTTGGATTCAATGCCCAAAAAGATCACTAAAGTCCTTATCGGATGCTATAACTGCTTACACAGATGCAAGAAGAAAATCCAAACAACTGTTACTCATTGTATACATTTATATGTTTAGAAAACTGGACTGGATGTCATGTAACATTTAGAATTATAATTTAACCTGAATGTTAGTTTGCACAAAAAAAAAAAAAAAAAAAGGCTCCCTCCAAACAACAGAAACAACAAAACTCTCATTCAAAACAAATACTAAAATATATAATAGACTTCCAACCATAATATTAATATTATTATTATTATTATTATTGTGGACAATTTTGATAAATAATTACCAAAAAGAATATATTCATCCCTACTGTTTAAGCATCAACTGACTTTTAAAACATAAAGCATAAACACTGATGTTTGAGGCCTAGAAAACATTCATTCTATTGTTTGAATAATGATTTCAGTCTACAGGAAAACTGTTGCTTAGCTTTTCCTGTAACATCGAACAAAGAGTATTTTGTACTTAGTTGTTATCCTTTTTCTTTGTCCAAGTGAGAACACAATATGTCATTTAAAATATTCTCTCATTTAATTTACATTTTAATCTGAAAGAGAATATGAGTTTAAAAAATCATACCACAGCAGTAACGTCCCTTTGTACTTAGAAACATATTTCTTGTACCTGTTCAATTTAAAGCAAACCTGCAATACTCTAAGCACCTGACTCAACTTGTAACTTCTCCATCACTTCTTATATTTTTTTTTCCCTCTGAAAATAACCAGTGTGAGCTGTAGCTTGTCTCACATGTGTTAAGTTCTTCACTGGCTTTGCATAAGGAGATTCACAAGCACATGAGTTATTCTACACTGCTTATTTGTCTCAAATATCCGATCTAAAACACATCATCTGATTTGTATTTCTTAATATTTTATAGGTGAGTTAGTTCTGAGTTATTTTTCTCTGTTTCCTGTGTTTAACCAAGATGCTGAAAGACTTTGTTGATACGTCAGACTTCACTGAAACAAAGGCTTCACACAGATCAGGCATCTAAATTATTTGGTCATTTCAAAAGTGGTATTTTGGCTACAGTATATTTTTTCCACTTGTGTGGTATGCATTTGCAGCTGACTGACAGGACAATGTAAAGTTTTGGTCCCCAGCAGCCATAGTTGCAGCATCTTTCTTAACTCCAAGAGTATCAGCAGCAGGTGCTCATGCTATTTTAAATAAGTTAGGATGTTGGCTTGCTAAACAAACAAATGTAACTTCTTTAGCAATTTCCAGTCTTTTGCTTGATGTAGATTCTATTCGCCATGCAACGCTTCAAAATAGAGCTGCGATTGATTTTCCCTTACTTGCACAAGGCCATGGCTGTGATGAATTTGAGGGCATGTGTTGCATGAATCTCTCTGATCATGCACGATCTGTACACTCACAGCTCTCTGAGTTACGGAGGTTAACTGGGAACTTACAGGTGGAATCAGGCCTTGGTATTGATGGATGGCTCAAATCTTTAAACTTAGGATCATGGTTACGTTCAATTATTAAGGTTAGCATTGTAGTAGCTATTGTAGTTTTGCTGTTAGTATTAGTCTTGCCTTGTTTTTGTATATGCTTGCAGAATATGGTGCGAAAGATGATAACTACTGCATTTAATCAAACTATGCTTGTTCAACAGAAAAACAGGGGAGATGTAGAGAGCTTTTTGGATAATTGGTTAGCTGAGAAAGGACATTCCGATGTGATACCAATGGATAAGGGTAAGAGAAACAAGCTGGGAACTGAGCAACCGGTGCCTAATTACTGACGAAGGTCACAGTGACCTTCTCTAAAACGGGAAGACGGGGGAGAAAATTGCTTGCCAGAAAATGTAGCTATCCCAAGGTAGAGAAATTAGAAGAATGTACACATAGAAGCAAAATAATTGTTAAGAGATAGAAGTAGGTGTGTTTGATCATAGTGTGCTTTAACCAATAATGAGCTCAGATTTTGCAATATGCATAAGCTTCATTAACACTAATATAAAAATGTGTAAGCTTTCAATAAACTTCGAGATTTGCTATTCATCGCATATGGTGTGTCGCATCTCTCCCGCCGTTACGACATAGAAATTCAGTAGTTAACCTGTAACTAGATCTGCCAAAGCAAAAATGTCGGTATTAAGAGCTGAGAACCAAAAAAAAGCAGATGTTTAGGACCAATATTATAAGAAATATTTGAGTATTCAATATGTATTAAAGGATCTAGAATAGGTTCTTGCAGATCTTGTTTTACTGAGAAGCATTTTTCCTTAGCTGACTTTTTTCTCTATTACATGTAAAACAAAGAGCTGCTCATTAAAAGGGGGGGGAGGGTTGGAAAATTTTCCTTTTGTATTTAATATTAAGGCTGACAGTCTTGCACTCATTTAGTTGCCTGATTGTAAGAGAAAAAAATAACTAGCATGTTAAAAAAAGTACAAATATCCAGTAATTACTGTAGAAGTAGCAGTTATTGCAACTGTAGAAGCCTCTTTTTTCATCATTTTAGGTTTGAAAATATTTGATGACTGATTTTTTTCCTTGCTACATGCCTGATATTACTTGAATTTTATTGTTCTCTACTTTCAGCTGTGAATATTTACTTTACCCTTAAGCTTAAAAAACTATAAAAATCAGCATAATGCTGAGAGAGGATATTGATTTATTGTCAGCATGCTTATGTTTTGTTTAAAAATGCACAGTTTAAGTATTACTTTAACAATTATAATAATTTATTTTATTAACATAATTTACTAAGATTTTTCTTTGCTTATGCTTCTACAGTCCATACAGTGACACTGTTTCTTAATATCTTTGGATGTTTGGCCTGGTTTTACATTGATGCTACACGAGGAGTTGATTTTGTATTGAGTATCCTCTGGTTCTTGCTTTTTACCCCTTGTTCTTTTGTCTGCTGGTACAGACCACTTTATGGAGCTTTCAGGTAAGAACTTCAGCTTGAATTAAGATCTTTAAAAAAAATACTTCACTTCTTGAAATGCATTAACATTCCAGAATTTGTTTATCATTAAGATAATCCTTCAATGTAATTTCATTAGAAACAAGTAGAACAATTACCATTAATTCAGTTGCTGTATCTGAAATGCTGATGGCAATAGTTAGGAATATTGTAGAATATATTTTAAAATATTTAGAAACCATTAGCTCCTGAGAGCACTGAAGGTCCAGGAGTGCATCTGAAATGTTTGTACATCAATTCACATAGTATGAGAAACAAGCAAGGTTAACTGGAAGCATCAGCTCCCAGAGCTATGATATCACTGGTATTAGTGGGACTTGGTGGAATGAGTCTGAAGACTGGATTGCCGAAATTGAGAGCTACAGGCTGTTCAGGAGGGATGAGCAGAGCAGGCCAGGTGAAGGAGTTGCATTGTATGTAAGGAAGAGGTTTGATTGTACAGACCTTAGTGTTAGGGATGATGTGGTTGAGAGCCTCTGGGTGAGAATGAGGAGGATGAAAAACAGATGTAGTGGGTGTATATTACTGATTACCCAGCCAGGATGTAAGCCGTGATGAGTTATTCTATAGGCAATTAGGAGAAATCTCTGGATTGGTAGCCCTTGTCCTTATAAGGAGATTTCAACTTCCCAGATATCAACTGGGAATACCATATTGCTGTGACAAGCAAGCATAGGAAATTCCTGAAGTTCGTGAAAGAACTTTTTAACACAAGGCCTCAGGGAGCCCTCTAGGAAAGATGCCCTCCTAGACTTGTTTGTGAATACAGAAGGACTCATGGGAGATGTGATGATTGGTGATTGTCTTGGCCACATTGACCATGAAATGGTTGAGTTTAAAATTTTCAGTGTAGCAAGAAACCAGGTCAGCAGAGTTCTAAGCTATTCAGGGAGCTACCTAGCAGAGTACCCTGATTTTGAAGGCTTATAAGTCCAGGAGTGTTGGTCATTTTTGAGAACCACCTTTTAAAAGTGCAGGAGCAGGCAATTCCACTGTGTCAAAAGCCAAGCAAGTGAGGCAGAAGAACACGAGCTCCTTGTGGAACTCAAGAGGAAAAAGAAATTGTATGATCTCTGGAGGAAAGGTCAGGCTTAGCAGCAAAATTACCCAGCCATGGTTCTCATATGCAGCAAGAGGACATGAAATGCCAAAGCTGAGCTAGAATTTAAACTGGGAAGTGTTTTATCAGACAAGAAGGGCTTTTCAAAGTACACCAATAGCAAGAGGAAGGCTAAAGAAAATATTGGACTGCTACTTGATGATGATGGTCACTTGAATAATAGGGATAAAGAAAAAGCAGAGGCATAAAATGTTTTTATTGTCTTATTCTTTAATAATACTGAGTCAGAGGACTGTGAGTGCGGTAACAGTCACTTTCCATTTGTGGACACTGAAATTGTGAGGGACCAGCTGTATCAGTTGAATGTTCACAAGTCTGTGGGGCCTTAGAGGGTCTGTGGGGCTCTGATACAGGGTATTGAAGGAGCTAGTAGATGTTATGGCAGGATCCCTCTCAATAATCTACCAAAGATCTTTGGAGTCTGGGGGGGTCCCTGCTGACTGGAAGCTAGGCAATGATATTCCAATTTACAGAAAAGGCATGAGAGAAGACCCAGGGAACTACAGATGTGTTGTTAGTCTAGCCACAGTACCTGGAAAAATTATGGAGATTACACTGGGTGCTATTGAAAGGCATTTAGAAAACAATGCAATCATCAGGCACAATGTGGGTTCACAAAGAAAAAATCCTATTTAACTAATTTGATATCTTTCTATGATAAATGTCACTTGCTGTCACTCTTGCGCCGAGAATGACACAGGAACAGGTGAGAGGCAGTATTGTAGAAAGAGCAAAGAAGGCGTTATTCAAGAGAACTGCGCGGTTTATATACAGTGATACAATACATTCTATTTGATTGGCTAGTTAACAAAAACACCTTTCTCATACACTGTCCTTGAGAAGAACAGAGAGACGAAGTAGAAAAACACCACCTGCAGATTGTTTATACTAACAAGTTATCACATTCTTACAACTCCCTGAAAATTCTCACAAGCCGCTGTGAGAAACACTTGCTGTTTCTCTCTCTCTGTCCCATGGCATCCACAACTTGCCTAGTGGATTAAAAGAAGGCAGTGGATGTAGTTTTTTCTCAATTCTAGTAAGGCCATTGATACTGTCCCTCACAGCATCCTTCTGGACAAGTTGTCCAACTGTGGGATGAGCAGGTTCATGGTGTGCTGGGTGAAGAACTGATGTAAGAGCAGCGCTCAAAGGTTTGTAGTGAATGGAGCTACATCTGCCTGGTGACAATTCACTAGTGGTATCCCTCAGGGTTCAATTTTAAAGCCAGTCAGTCCTGTTCAATATTTTTATCAATGATCTGGATGCAGGAGTTGAATGCACCATTATCAAGTTTGCTGATGATACCAAACTGAGAGGGGCTGTTGGCTCTCTTGAGGGACAATAGGCCTTGCAGAGGGATCTAGATAGGTTGGAGCATCGGGCAACCATCAGTGGCATGAAATTTAACAAGTCCAAGTGCCAGATCCTGTACCTGGGATAGAGTCATGCTGGGCACAAGTATAGATTGGGAGAGGAGTGTGTGAAAAGCAGCCCTGCAGGAAGGGATCTGGGGGTGCTGGTCAGCAGCAGGCTCAGTATAAGTCAGCAGTGAACCCTGGCAGCCAAGAGAGCAAACTCCATCCTGGGGGGCATCAAACACAGTTGAACCAGTTGGTCAAAAGAGGCGATGATCCTGCTGTATTCACTGCTGATGTGGCCTCACCTTGAGTACTGTGTGCAGTTGTGGGCCCCACAACTTAAGAAGGATGTGAAAGTCCTTGAATGTATTCAGAGAAGGGCAACCAAGCTGGTGAAAGGGCTGGAAGGAATGTCCTGTGTGGAGCAGCTGAGGACACTGGGTTTGTCTAGTTTGGAGAAAAAGAAGCTGAGGGGTGACCTCATGGCTCTCTACAGCTTCCTGGGGAGGGGAAGTGGAGAGGGAGGTGCTGAGCTCTTCTCCCTAAGATCCAGTGACAAGACGCATGGGAGTGGTTCAAAGCTGAGGCAGGGGAGGTTCAGAGCTGACAGTAGGAAGCATTTCTTTACTGAGAGGGTGGTCAGACACTGGAACAGGCTTCCTAGAGAGGTGGTCGATGCCCCAAGCCTGTCAGTGTTCAAGAGGCATTTGGACAATGCCCTTAATAACATGCTTTAACTTTTGGTCAGCCCTGAAGTGGTCAATCAGTTGGACTGAATGATCATTGTAGGTCCCTTCCAACTGAAAATATTCTGTTTGATTCTATTTATAGCTTCTACCATTGACATAGTATTTGTAGGAAATATTTAATTTTGTATTGAGCTGATAACAGTTTTAAGGAAAATTTTCATTAAATCTGTATCCCTTAATGGGCAGGTTAATAGTTAAGGATGTCTTTAATATTTGGCTTCCTGAATGAACTTCATAAAACCATAGACTTAAAAAATCTTATGTTGCTAAGTGACCTGTAGTGTCTGTAATTGAAGTAGGCTGATATTCTTAAAAATGAGTAGATCAGGTACGTATTGATTAAATTCTAATATTTTCCTAGTTTTTAGCAGTCTGGATTTTGAAAAACTTTACAAGCTTGATAGGTGGCATCTTAGTCTTGAAAAATTGAATGGTTGGTTTGACTGCAAAATTGAACTATTTTTTTTTTTTGGTGAAAATCAGCATGTAGAGATTCTAAATTCCCATACTCTCAGAGTATTTTTTTTTTAATTTCCTTTTCAGATTGAAAAGAATCTGGATGTTCTCAGTTTAAATGCACTAATTTTTTTTCGAGATAGACTGATAGCCATAAATTGCAGTTGAGCATTGAGCATAACTTTTAGACTAAATGAGATGTTTCTTTTTGCTAGCCAAGAAGATATTGCTGTACCTACACATCTTTGAGGAATCGTATAGTCTAACTTGCATTTATTTGTACACTAAATTCTTACATTCTTAAGGCTAAAAATGAGAAGAGTATTTTTAATTTACTGGTCTAACTTTTGTTGATGACTGGTTACAATGTGGGTACAAATTGAGATAAATTAAAAATACAGAGAGTTGCCAGTATTTTAAAATTATACTATTTCATTTTCATCATAAATATTGCATGTTCTCTCTTAGTAGTGTTCTTTTATATGAATTATTTTTCCTGATTTGGTGGAGTTCAGTGTCATGTTATTTTTCAGGGTTTTAGATTTAGTAAATCCTTAGCATTTCTTAGTGACTATTTATTGTTTGAAAAAGGAAAACTACTACTTGCATATTTAATTTTCAATCATCTGTTCAGCTGAAATAGGGTGAACTTGTTGAATAAATAGAAAATAACAAATTCCCTTCTGCAGAACGACCTATTACTGGCAAATTCTTGTTCAGTGACTTAAGTGATCTTTAGTTCCTTTAGAAATTTGGTAGAAAGCATATAATGCAGTCATTAGTTTTCATAGTAACACATTGAGGTCTTTGAGATTCTGCCTGCATGTTTATATTTGGGGATTTTTTACAGGCTATTTGTCAGGCTAACATTTTAGTAATTTAAACAGAAAACATATCTTGTATATTTTGTTTTTAAACAACAACTGCTTCAGTATTCTGATCCACATTGTGCTTCAGCGATTCCATATTAGTTTTTATTGCTTCTTACAAGTAAAATATTTTCTTCCCATCATGCCAGCACTGTGAACTTCAGTTTAAAAGTGGAGTGGACTTCTGTTCTTTATGCATTGTAGCAGAAGTTGTATGTTTAGTCTAAGAGGCCCTGCTGTGTGCTGAACAGAACACTAAGGAATAGTATCTTGCTGTTATTCTCGCCTCTGTGAGAGGTGCAAATGGCAAAAGTACTATATTAAAGAAGTAGCAACAGCTCATATATAAACACTCTACAAAACCACAGAATTACTGGAACTTCAAGTCACCATCAATAAAATATAAAAACACTTTTTCTTTAGTTAATGCAGAAAAAAAAATGTAGATTGGTACTACAATATTTGTAAAAAGTAATACATTTCCTGGCTGCTTTAATTTTCCCCCCCCCTCTTTCAGGAGTGACAGTTCATTCAGGTTCTTTGTGTTCTTCTTTGTATATATCTGTCAGTTTGCTGTACATGTACTTCAAGCTGCAGGATTTCAAAGATGGGGAAACTGGTGAGTATTCTGTTTTCTGTAGCATTGTATTGTCTGTAAGACAAACACTCATATTTGATATAGCAGCTGCAAACCAGTCCGTGGTTTTAAAAGAAAAAATAATCTTGTATTCACTGGAATTCTTACATTTAGCAGTCAAAAAAGCATTTTTGGAGTGCTCTTAGCTAGAAAAAGTATGTGAAACATATCCCAAGAGTATGAGATACTTCTGTTATTAGACTGGTCAAAATTTTGTCTTTCAGTGTAAGCCACTGTCATAGCTTAACCCCAACCAGCTCTCAAGGCCCCCACAGCTGCTTGCTCACTCCCTCACCAGTGGGATCAGGGAGAGAATCAGAAGGGTTAAAGCTATAAAACTCCTGGGTTTTGATAAAGACAGTTTAACAGGCAAAACAAAAGCCACACACACAAGCAAAGCAAACCAAGGAATTCATGTACTGCTTCTCATACACTGGCAGGTATCCAGTCATCTCCAGGAGAGCAGGGCCCCATCACGCATAATGGTTACTTAGGAAGACTAATGCCATCACTGCAAACTTCCTCCCCCTTCCTCCTTCTTCCTCCCACTTCATATACTGAGCATGATATCACATGGTCTGGACTATCCCTTTGGTCAGTTGGAGGCATCTGCCCCAGCTGTGTCTCCTCCCACGCACCCCCAGCCTCCTTGACAGCTTGGCAGTATGAAAAGCAGCAAAGTCCTTGCCTCTGTGCAAGCCTTGCTCAGCAATAAGAAAAACATCTCTATATTATCAACACTGTGTTCAGCACAAATCCAAAACACAGTCCCATACCAGCCACTGGGAAGAAAATTAATTCTACCCCAGCCAAAACCAGCTCAGCCACTTTATACTGCTCTTTTATATATTACCTCTCCTCTTTTAGTGGTGTGTGGAGAACTTATTTGCTCTATATTTAGGATAAAGAAATAAGCAAAACTTAGAAAAAATGAAAATAATTTAGGCTGTAATAATTTACTGTTGGAATATTATTTTGTATAATTTTTTATTTCTAATGATATTAATATACTTACTAATAAAATTTATTGCTAAAATTGGAAGAATGAATCAACAATGTATTTCAGTGAATATAGTGCTATATCTTTGATATTATTTGAAAAGCTAATTTGTCCAAGTCAGCTTTTTATTCAGTAAGAGTTGATTTTCATTTTGATGCTTATAAATATATAAGCTTTTACTTGAACTTTTTATATAGATATAGCTTTATTTATATAGATATAGCTTTATTTGAAGCTTCAAGGTCTAATATTAGGATTTTACAAGGAAAAGCTATTGGGAATCACTCACCCTTCTTGGGGAAAAAAAAAAACAAAACAAAAGAACAAACTTGAATTAACAAAAAGCATGGTTGTAGTAGCCAGCTGATGGCATGGAGAGCTATAACTGGCAATAATGTACCTGGGTAATGACATTTCTGTGTATCAGCAGTTTTCTGTTAACCTCCAAATGTACATAAGGCAGAAATAAACATCATTGCTTTAGAACTGGAGTATAAGGAAAAATCCTGGTTTATTATTTTTGCTCTCAAAGCCACTATTTGGCTTTTTCCTAGATAACTTGATTGACATGAACAAAGTGAAAAAGTGATTTTAGAAAACCAACTCTCCAAGTATGGCATGTGTACTTTTAAGGATACCTGGGGAAGTGGCATGAAAAATAGCCAGATCATCATCAAACGCTAATTGCAGTTTTGATTTTGGAGTTCTGTGCTAGAGTCCAATTGAACATAGGGGACATCAAAGCAATTTAAAACAAGTAGAAGAAAGTTTTAAGGTTGTTTCAGTTTGCATAAATTTTTTGCTCTTTTTGGTGAAAGAATTTTTTTCTATCTTAATGTGTTATTTTTATTAGGGCAACCTGCTCTTTTGTGACTTCAAGTTTATGTTGATGTTTCAAATTTGAAGAAAGGGGAAATATTTGAAGTAATATTGATGTAGCAATCTGCTCTCTTAATTAATCTGACACTACCTACTTAAAAAAATATATTAATCACAGTTGAGAAGGCATCACTGTGTGGTTACAGTAAAATTAATTTTCCCACATAAAAGCTCTGTGTATGTGCGCCATATTTTTTGTTTTCTTTTTTAAGAAGTTAGAAGCTATCTTTTTAGGGATGTTTTCTCTTCCACAAAATCATGTAGTCTTAAATTATTCTGAAATTACAGTATGACCAAAAAAAACCCCCAAAAGTGATGAGCAACTCTAACATCTCAATTTCCTCACGGTTCTCCTGAAGGATAATCATCTTTGCTAAAATTTTTCTTATCGTTTCACTGCATGAATTGGGAAAAATGGCAACTAAGCTGTAAAAGCTTATAGAACAGAAATATGCTCATATATAATTTTCATGAGGTTTTCTTCAAAAATATTCAGTTGATCAGAACCAGGATGTTATAAAGCTTCCCTTGATGTGGATAACTGTGGTTGAATGGTTCATGTGCTGTGCTAATCAAGTTTGTATTTTCTTTTTCCTTCAGTGGGTGGATTTCGTCTCTTACTAGTCTTAATAAGAGTATCCCTGTTGGCGTTATGATGACAATCATAGCTGCACTTTTCACAGCATCTGCTGTTATTTCATTAATTATGTTTAAAAAGGTAAGTTACTTATTATTCCCCTCTTCTGTTTTCTATGTTCTGGAGTTTGCTTTCCTGCTTGAGAGGCAATCTCTCTCAAAGTAATGGGGATTAAATTATATTCTTGAGCATGTGCTTGTGCCTTACCTTTTAACAATCATGCTTCAGTAGTACTTTTTTGCTTATACTGTCATGGAGTTTTGAAATGCTGGTTTTACAGTGCACTTATTTCTGCAAATTAAATGGGGAAGGATAGCTTTGAATAAGAGAAGCTGGGAGGTGAGCCCACAATTAAAGGGTAGGTGAATGCACTGGAGACTAAGGTAGGACTTGTAGATGCAAGGTTGCAATTTCCAAATCTGTGGTGATTCATCAGGCTGAGTGAAGCATGATTCAAATGATTACTAAGTTTCAGCTCTTATAAAAATTATTCCTCATTAAAATCAATAGAAGAGTGAGATGCCTAGCACCGTGGAAAATTATTTTTATTTCTCTGCTTGGATTATTTTAACATTTTGCTGTCAATTAATGATTGCATAGCATAAAACCTCAAAGATGCTGTTCTCCCTTGGTTCCTTTTGTGAATTTCCATCCAGAAAGCCTAAGCTTAGATAATAATGTGCTAGTAAGCTTTTTATGTTGTTTCAATTAAATGTAACTGATAATTCTGCTGCTGATATGCTGGTAATTCTAATAATTCAACTGCAGTTACAGTTCCACTTAAAGGTCTTAATGTACCCAAACTCTACTGGCCTATTTACAGTAAGGTAGAAACTTCCTTTCTCCTTATTTGTTTTTTGCATAAATACTCAGGTATAGGAGAAAGAAACAAATGAAAAATATGTATGGTGAGCATTTTTTACACTCTTTCTACCACATGAATCTGAATTCTTTTCAAAAAACATGTATACTCATATATGATCTGGTGACATTTATAACAAAAAAAAAGTTACATGAATTTTCCTGCTATGCTTATAGAATCATAGAATTGTTAAAGTTGGAAAAGACCTCTAAGATCATCAATTCCAACCATCAACCCAGCACCACCACCGTGTTCACCACTAAACTATGTCTTCAAGTATCCACATGTTTTTTGAACGCTTTCAGGGATAGTGACTCTACCACTTGCCTGGGCAGGCTTTTCCAATGCTTTACAACCATTTCCATGAAGAAATTTTTCCTAATATCTAATCTAAACCTCTCCTGGCACAACTTGATGCCATTTCATCTTGTCCTATCCCTTGTTACTTGAGAGAAGAGATCAACTCCCACCTTGCTACAGCCTCCTTTCAGGTAGTTGTAGAAAGCAATAAGATCTCCCCATAGCCTCCTTTTCTCCAGGCCAAACACCCTCAGCCCCCTCATCCACTCCTCATAAGACTTGTGATCCAGCCCCTTTTCCAGCTACATTACTCTTCTGTGGACACACTCCAGCACCTCAATGTCTTTCTTGTAGTGAGGGGCCCAAACCTGAACACAGGATTCAAGGTATGGCCTCACCAGTGCCAAGTACAGGGGGACAATTGCTTCCCTGGTCCTGCTTCCCACACTATTTCTGATACAAGCCAGGATGCCTTTGGCCTTCTTGGCCACCTGGGCACACGCTGGCTCACATTCAGCTGGCTGCCAACCAGCAGCCCCAGGGCCTTTTCTGCTGGGCAGCTTTCCAGCCACTCTTCCCCAAGCCTGTAGCACTGCGAGGGGTTGTTGTGGACCCAAGTACAGGATCTAATGCCTGGCCTTGTTGAATCTCATATATTTGGCCTCAGCCCATCAATCCAGCCTATCCAGATCCCTCTGTAGACCCTTCCTATCCTCCAGCAGATCAACACTCCCACCCAACTTGGTGTCTTCTGCAAACTTGCTTCAGGTGCGCTCGATCGCCTCATCCAGATCATCAATAAAGATATTAAACAGGACTGGTCCCAATACTGAGCCCCAGGGAACACCACTCATGACTGGCCACCAGCTGAATGTAACTCCATTTACCACCACTCTGGGCCTGACCATCCAGCCAGTTTTTTACTCAGTGAAGAGTGCATCACATCTGTACTATGGGAAATCAGTTTCTCCAGAAGAATGCTGTGAGAAACAGTGTCAAAGGCTTTACTGAAGTCTAGGTAGATGACATCCACAGCCTTTCTGTCATTCACTAAGTGGGTCACCTTGTTGTAGAAGGAGGTCAGGTTCTTCAAGCAGGACCCGCCTTTCCTAAACCCATGCTGGCTGGGCCTGATCCCCTGGCTGTCTTGCACTTGTTGCATGATGACACTCAGGATGATCTGCTCCATGACCTTCCCTGGCATCAAGGTCAGGCTGACAGGGCTGTAACTCACTGGGTCCTCCTTCTGACCCTTCTTTTAGATGGGCATCACATTTGCTCACTTCCAGTCATCTCTGATCTCCCCGGTTGACCAAGACTGCTGGTAAATTATTGAAAAGGACTTAGTGAGTTCTTCCACCAGCTTTCTCAGTACCCTTGGGTGGATCCCATCAGGTCCCATTGGCTTGTGCAGGTCTAAGTGGCATAGCAGGTTGCTGACCATTCCCTCCTGGTTTACAGGGGTTTAATTTTGCACCCTGTCTGTTTTCCAGCTCAGGGGGCTAGATACCCTGAGGACAACTGGTCTTGTTATTGGAGACTGAGGCAAAGAAGACATTACATACCTCAAACCTTTCCTCATCCTTTGTTACTGTTTCCCATCATATCCAACAAAGGATGGAGATTCTCCTTAGCCCTTCTTTTGTTGCTGGTGCATTTGTAGAAACACTTTTTGTTGTCTTTTACAGCAGTGACCACATTAAGTTCTAGCTGGGCTTTGGACCTTCTAATTTTCACAACATCCTTATAGTCCTCCCAAGCTGTCTGCCCCTTTTTCCAGAGATGGTAAACTCTCTTTTTTTCCTGATTTCCAGCCAAAGGTCTCTGTTCAGACTGGCCAGTCTTCTTCCCTGACAGCTTATCTTTTGGCACATGGGGACAACCTGTTCCTGCACCTTTAATTTTCCTCCTTAAAGCACATCCAATCTTCCTGGACTCCTTTGCCTTTCAGGACTGCCTCCCAAGGGACTCTCTCAACCAGTCTCCCAAACAGGCCAAAGTCTGCCCTCTAGAAGTCCAAGGTGGCAGTTTTCCTGACCCCCCCTCCTCCTTACTTCTCTGAGAACTGAAAACTGTCATTTTGTGATTGCTGTGCCCAAGATGGTCTCCAACCATCACATCACATCACATCACATCACATCACATCACATCACATCACATCACATCACATCACATCATCAACAAGTCTTTCTCTGTTCAAAAACAGCACATCCAGCAGGGCTTCTTCCCTGTTTGGCTCCCTTACCAGCTGTGTCAGGAGGTTCTCTTCCACACACTTCAGGAACCTCCTGGACTGTTTCCTCTTTACTGTATTGTATTTCCAGCAGACATGTGGTAAGTTTAAGTCCCCCATGAGAACAAGGGCTAACGATGCCTGCCTGATGCCTTTTTTGCATGGAGACGCCCTAATTCCTGCATGACCATTCACAGGTGCTTCTGGGATTTCTAATATCAATAATCCCTGCATACTTGCTGCCATATGGATCTTCATCCCCTGCCTCCACTGATATGGCAGACCGAAGGACCTTGCTAGCACACTGTCCCTCAAGCAGTGGTGTGTCACCCCCAGGCTTATCTCTATCCAGTCTGGCTTTATCCCTGTCCTTCTTCCAATCTAGTTTAAAGCTCTCAAGTAGCCCTGCTCACTGCTGAGCCAAGATTCTTTTTCCCCTTTGACACAGGTAGACCCCGTCTGTTCTCAGCAGGCTCAGGGTCATGTAAACCAACCCATGATCAAAACCCACAAAATTCTGCTGGTAACACCAGTCTCAAAGCCAGGTATTCATCTGCATGATCTTCCTGTTTCTTGCCCCATCATTCCCCGCAACTGGCAGGACAGAAGAGAATACAACTTGTGCTCCAGATCTCTCAACCAGTCATCTCAAGGCCCTGAGGTCCCCCTTGATTGTCCACAGACTTCTTGTTGGACTTCATTGCTGACCACCTGGAAAGCCAATAGTGGGCCATACCAAGTTGGGAAATTTCTTAGTGATGTCCCTTACCTATGGGTTGGGTCCAGTTGGCATATCCATCCCTCTGTTCTTCTCAGAAGGGATTCACTAATGACAACTACCCTTTATTTCTTAACTGAGGTGGTTGTGATGCAGAGGGTAGGCTGCTCTGCCTTAGGTGAACCCTCCAACCTGGAAGAACCTTCATTCACATTTTCATTTCCCTGGTCCTCAAGTTGCAGCGGGACCGAACATGCAACTAGCATGTCTTGACCCTACCTCCTCTTGGAATTTCTGTCTGAACACCGCTGGAACCCAGGTGTTGGTAGCTATGTTTGTTCTTTTCTATATCTTTTCTGTCTCTCTCCTTCTTCTTCTAATTCCTTCTTCTCAGAATTTTTGAGTAACTTAAAATCAAAAGGGCTTGGAGTTTGCTAAGTTGAATGGGCAAAGGTAATGCTTTGGGAAGTGTTTCATATTGACTGAATGCTGCTCTAAACCTTTTGCCAAAGTTCTTTGATTTTCTACAGTTGCCAGTAGGTTTTTTGTGTTTTGACCTCTTGAGAACATCTTGCTAGTATTTCTCCCATGCCTCTAACTCAGAGTACATGAACGACTGCAAGCCCTTTTAAAAGTCTCGTTGAGCAAGGTTTTTTGGGCCTTATCTCCCCACAGTTTATATACTGGGCATACGTTCCATGGTATGGAATATCCCTTTATATCCCTTTGACCAGTTCAGGTCACCTGTCCTGGCTATGCTCCCTCCCAGCTTCTTGTGCATCTCCTCCCTGGCAGAGCATGAGATATTGAAAAGTGCTTGACTCAGGGCAAGCACTGCTCAGCAACAACCAAAACACTAGTGTATTATCTGCATTATTCTCATACTGAATCCTAAACACAACACTATAGCAGCTACTGAGAAGAAAATTAACTCTCCCAGCAGAAACCAGGACAAATGTTCAGTCATAACTTAATAGGCACTTGCAACCGTGTCAATCAGTAAAATTAAGATTTCTAAGATTGTATTATGTAAAAAAGTTCACTAAAATGTTATTGACACAGTAGATTCAAAAATATTTTTTTCTTTTTGTTTCTTGCTGTTACTTTTAACATGCACCCTTAGCATATGTTATGCTAAGGATACAGCCTATTTGTGTATTTAAATGTGTTGTTTTAGACAGTAGATAGCACACACGTAAACTTGGAAAAAGGTACAGTCATCCTACGGTCAAACTGCACACACAGCAGGGCAATCAGAAGTTGTAGAATTTGTGGGAGGAAAAAAAATTCTGTTTATTCATTTTCGGATCCTCCCAAACATATGAACAAACCAGATTTTTCTACCACACGGCTCTACTTCATGTTTGAGACTTTGCTATTACTCTACCAAGAAATTGAAGCTTCATCATGCTTTTTTACTGTTTTTCCACCTCCCTAGGTGCATGGTCTCTACCGCATTACTGGTGCTAGTTTTGAGAAAGCACAGCAGGAGTTTGCAACAGGAGTGATGTCCAACAAAACTGTACAAACTGCTGCAGCCAACGCCGCATCAACAGCAGCAACCAGTGCAGCTCAGAATGTGTTCAAGGGTAACTGAATGTAGAGAAATATAAAAAATCATGACAGTTCTCTTCCATTGTACTTTATTTTCCAGTCACTTATTATATTCCCTAAAAACATATATCAGGATGCACACAGCATATTTGTTTCTTCTGCAGCAGTGCATAGGTAAAATGGGAAATGTTTGTTTATTTTATAATAAATTTGTTTATTTTTAAAAGATAACCATTCTCTGTGCTTATTTAAAATGTTGCATTTTGGAATAATAAGCTTTCCTTATTTAGGGAGGATAAGGGATTTCAACAACTGAATGAGAATGAATTGTGGTATACAATGATCAAATATAATATATTAAGAATTTGGAGGGTTTTTTAGTGGTTCATCTTGGTGGGTTTTTTTAACTTCAGGAAAGAACTTTGGCTAAATTGTTTTTCTTTGTAAAAACTGTTTTCCCTATTTCTGCTATAAATGGGGTAGACTGAGAGATGTAAAAGGTTAGGTTTGGCTATGCTTTTGCAATTTCAGTAGCTGCTGGAGGACAAATACAATTAGGATAGATATAAATTATTTTCTTGGGTTTTTTTTTAGGATAAGTCTTTTGATAGAAACCTGTAATTTTGCATGAATACTGTCATCTGTACTTGTTTAAATAGTGTTTTGGTCCAGAATTTGCCTGCACAAAGTTGTATCACTTGTTTCTATCTATTTTCATAGAGTATTCTCTACCTGTGAGAAATTACTATGATGCAGAAACATTCTCTGTAATAGAATGTGCAATGCACTGTATAGTTTAAGGAAGTTAACTGATGGTTTCAATCACAGATTTAAATTATTATATATTTTCTATTTTTAATTTCAGTATTCATGTCTTGGGGCAGTCATTTTGTTGGAAAAGAAACAAATATTGACCTCTAGAACACTAGTTTCATGCCACACTTCCCTCTTACATGCAGTGGTATTTTTGTTGTGTTTGGGATGTGTAGATTTGTATTTAACAGTGGTAGTAAATCTCCCGCCTTATCAGTCACAATGTTTACTGCTTGTCCAAAAATCTAAATATACAGTATTTAATTTCCTAAAATCATGCTTTTTAAGCAATGGCATTTAACAGATACATGCTTTCATTTTAATTTAACTCAGCTATTTCTGTGATTTCATTTAAGATGGAAGGAAAAACAGCTTTTAAACTTTTGAATTAGAAAAGTGAGAAATCTTCATCTTTCACAAAGCTAATTTTAGCTCATTGAACTGGAGGCCTAAGAGGTTAAATTGGTGCTGTGGAACTGAACAGTCCATAATGGTGCGTACTATCAAAATATTCTAGAATTGAATCAGGTCTTTCTACAAAGTGCCGTTTCTCTCCTTTGAAGGCTATTTGATATTCTTGGATTGCCTCATGAGTCTTATGCACAATACTTGGGCTTTTTTTTTTAAACTCTGTTTTAGAAAATTAAAACAGGAAGGGACCCCATCCCATAACCTGTATAAGTACACACTGTAGATGAAATTAATTCAGCTCTTAAGGTGTATTACCTTTAGTAAAAGGTAAAAATTCTGAGGCCCCTCCGTGTTCTGAATGTGAAGACTTTGATAGATTCTTTTTCACTGCAGTGTATTTATAATAGCATAATAGTATTACAAAAAAGAAAACCTGTTGCTTAATCCCCTGATCAGGACTGTACTGTTAGCATGAAGTCCCTACTAGTATCCTTTCTTTTACCAGTTTCATTAAATCCATCTTGAATTTGGACTAATGCAGTAGTTTCACCTATGCTGAAGTTTATATTACTGAATATACTTATTTCTAAATATTCTCTGCATCATGAAGTTAAAATTAATTTAAATATTCTGTGTAATAGGGGCTCTACAATTCTATGCTAAGACTAAACTTAAATTTGGGTGGAATGTTATTAAACACTTTCCAGACAGAAGTCACAATTTTCTGTTGAGATCAGGCATCACACCTCTAGCAGCTGTATATCAAAATTGTTCTTTTCATAATCTTTTTTATTTAACTTGAGGGTTGTATCTAGGAACTCTACTATGGATTACTTTTGAGTTGAATTTAAGAAATTCTCTTGGATATCTTTTGGATATGAATCCCAGGGACATCGTCCTTGCAATTTAATTTAAGTTCTAAGATTGCATAATAGCATACATTACCAAAATATATTATGAAAGAAACATTAGGAATAAAACCTGAATTTGACAGTTAGATTCCCCCCTATTCCCCCCTCCCCCTCAAAGTTTAACTGTTCATTGAGAAAACATATTTAATATTATATATATATATATATATAGGGATTGTTGATTTGCAATGTCATGGGTTGAATGTACAAATTTTAACCTCCTAAGTGAAATTCAAGGTTCAATTACATGTGAATTATTTAAACCAGAAATCTCTGATGCTTTGCAGCCCTAAAGGGAGGGAGATGTTTGAGTTTACCTTTGACAACAGAAGGTTGATATTTGTTAGAATATTTTGTACCTAACTAAAACTATATTTTACACTCTTATTAATTAATCAGAGTATGGTGCCCACTTAAGTTGTCATTTTGTAGTATTGTAGCAAATTAAGTTCACAGCATGAAGTTTAAACACTGGAATGTCTGTAGTCATTGATTTGTAATTTAGGAGTTGGTTTTATTTATCTGGGGGATGTTTGTATATTTTGTAAATTACTAATAATGCTCTGCCATCCTGGTGAATGTCATAGTGCTCTACAAATGCACTTCTGTCCTTCTGTTGCATGTCTGAGTAGTTCAGAAGCTTTGTATTTTTATTGTATTAACCCAGTGTCATAGAATAAAAAAAGATTTCTTTTTCTGAATGTTTGATCTGTATAGTTTTGAACAATATAGGAATTTTTCTTTTGAAAGTCAGGATAACATGCAGGGCAGATTATCTACTTACAAGTGCTCTCAGGCACATGGTGTGATTCTGGGGTGTTTTGCGCAAGGCCAGAAGTTGGACTCGATGATCCTCATGGGTCCCTTCCAACTCAGGATATTCTATGATTCTATGAATTATAAAAACCAAGTGAATAGAATATGCAGTAGGAACAGAACAGGACCTGTAAATTTATTTTATATGTATACCCACAAAACAATAGTTATAATTTCTGGAACACTACTGATCACGTAAAACAGAGTTAAAAGGCTCAACAGTTTATAGTTAATACAGGGATAATTTATTCCCTATATATTGTATAGAGACATGATAACACTGCAGTTTCTGTGGGAGATGTTTGAAAAAGTTTTTCTGAAGTCTTGGTTTATCATACCTCATTGTCTACATACAATCTGTGTCATTAGGGAAATGTGACTATGACATGAGAATAAAATTACTGCCTCTGGCTACAACAAACTCAGCATTCTATGTCAGAGAAGCTCAAACAGTAGTTTGAATTGCTAGAGTCAACCTGCATACATGCAAGCACATCTGCTTTCAGTGAAGGTACAGTGTCGTGTCCCTTGCTTTTCTCTACTAGTACAGTATTTAATTCCTAATTGCAGCTTTGGGTAACCACACTGATTAAACACAGCAGTCACAAAGAACTATCCAGGAACATTGATTCTAGCAGAGCTATAGGTCAAAAAGTCTCTGGAATTTGCCTGAAGTATCAGGATCAAATTTCAGGTTTACTACCTTTACACATTCATAGTGCAGGGAGTATTCTTCTTTCTGCAGCATTAAAATAGGCTACTGACCCAAACTAAAAAGGACCATCTCTTTATGCTTCTAGTGTCCTGTAGTTTGTTCTTCTGTTCTCCCCCATGAAAAATCATTAATGAACACTAGTCTGGAAATGAGAAGATGAAAAAAGAATATACAAATATTTTACAAATGCTTTATGATATTTCCATAATAAACTATTTATTCCAACGGTTAGTGCACTTTAAATACGATTTTTGCATTCCTAGATGAATGCTTGGAATTTATGTGAATAAGGATGGTGACATAGGTAGGCAAATGAAATATAATCTAAGACACATGAATAAAGAAATTGATACACCAAACTGTCAGATATGTGAACAGCAGACTCTTGAATGGGTCTAAATTTGGAGGAAAAGAACAGCAGTATAAATAAAGTATCAGCCTGAATCTCATTAAAACCCAGGCAAATAGTTTTTACCACTAGAATACACTGTTAGTATTATCAAGCTGACAGCAGTTTGCATGACACAATCAAAAACCTAAACCACTCTGTTATTTACTTAGAATCATTGTTATAGATAGGTAATGTGATGGATTGGCTCTCGCAAATAAGGGATGAAAATTGTATATCTGTTAAAAGAAGTTTTATTGATATGTAGATATGTTATCATAGTCTTGTTTAGACATCCTCTGTTCTCCCCATAGTCCCCTTCCCCCCTCAGTATCATTGCCACCGGACAGCCTTGGTTGTGAAAGACTTGTGAAGGGAGGGCATGTACATGTGCCTCTTGCATGGGATGGGAAAAGCTTGTTGCTGGGGGCGTGGCATGGCAACACCTCACCTCCAATCAAGTTGCACAAAAGTAGTCTCCACCAATGGACAGCAAGGAAGAGAGGAAGAGTTGACAGACTTTGGGAGGGGCCAGGGTTGGCTGGCACAACCTCCAGGGATATAAAAGGCAGAGCAGCCATTTTGTAGACGAGCACATGGCAGTTTGGTTCCATGCTCCCAGAACTGCAATTTTTCCTTATTCAGTCTTTTGTTGTATTTTTGTTAAGGTTTAATAAACCTTTGAAATTTTAAAAGTGAGTGTCATTTCTCACAAATGGGGACTCATCCAGGATAAACACCATGTATCCATGGCCCTAGGAGATTTCAAAAGAAAAGCGCACCCAGCCGAAAGTTTGGCAGCTCAATTGACTTCTCCTGGGACCATTGGTGGTTGCAGGTCAACACCCTGGAAAGCAGGAGGACAGCAAAATGGTGGGATGCAAGTAAAAGGGGCAGAGAAACTGTGGGTAGGACACGAAGAAAAAGGGAGGCGGGAGACCCGTGGCTGGCGGGACACAAAAGAAAGAGGGGTAGCAAAAGCTGCGGGCGGGGTTGCTGAGACGCTGACTGGAAGGTAGCCATCTTGGCTACCAAAAGTCCAAAACAACAGACTGTGCTGGTCAGCTGAAAAACCCGCTCTTCTGCCAAGAGGCAAACTTCTTCCGAGGAAGAGAGTGAGGGTTCATCTGAGTTTGAGGAGGAGCCTGAAGACCCCTGGCAGAAGATGCAGAATGCAGCAGTCAAGGAGGGGGATTTGGAGCTGGTATCAAAAATCCAAGTGGCACCAGTGCAGTATCGCAGGCGAGCTAACCTGCGATGGGAATCCATCTCCCACGGGGAAATGAAGGACCTTTGTAGGGCTGCAAAAGACCATAGGAGGAACTCGTCCTATTTTAACAACCTACTAAATGCTGTGTTTGCGGCCCATGTTATGGTGCCCCATGACTTAAGACACTTTATGCACATCCTACTCTCCCCCACTGAATTCATCCTGTCGGGGGGAGTATGGAAGAAACAACTACAGCAACTATTAAAAGACTATGCCCAAGAAGAATTTAGCCGGGGAGGAAGATTTCACAAAGCCAGGAGATCAGGCAATAGACCTCCCCCGAGCCGTGTTAGAAGACATAAAAGGCGCCACAAAAACAGCATTCTTACAAACACTGGACAGGACAACAGCAAACATTGACTTTACTGGCATTCATCAGGGACCGGATGAGACTTTCATATAATTTGTTGACCGTCTTACACAGGCAATAAACAAACAAATAGAATGTCCAGAAGCTCAGCAAGAGCTACTTCTACACCTAGCTGAAGCCAATGCAAACACCAAGTGCAGAGATATTCTACGTTCTCTTCCCCTCAACCCCAAGCCAACCATCTCTCAGATGGTCGAGGCTTGCACCATGAGAGCGAAGGAAGACCGAGATGTCACCTTAGTCAAAGCTGCCTGTGAGGGAACCATAGAAGCACTTGTTGCTGCACAAATAATCCCCCACAGACCCAATAACAACAGGGAAAAGGGACCATGCTTTAACTGCGGGGAAATGGGACACTATGAAGGTAACTGTTATAATAAAGGCAATAATCAATCCTGATCCTAGGGGTGCCCTAAGTGTCAGTGTCCTCAATGTTGCCAATGTCGAAGTGCTTACCAGCACCCACAAAATCACCAGCCCTCAGGAAATTCCTTGCAGAGCACGGGGCGGCCTCATGCAATGACACCAAATGCAAGGCTGCTTCACTCCACTCTCCCAACCATCATGGAGAATCAGCATGCCGAGCTTCTCCAGTCTATCACAACAGCTCCATCACCGCAGAGGAGCTCAACATGTGACAAATCCAGACAGGAACCCAGAGGCCACTGGTAAGTGCTCTTTCCATTCAAACTGAAGACACTTTTGTACACCACCTTCCAACAGGCAAATATGGGCCTGAGGATTGACCTAGGGATGTTTTAGTAATTTGTGACACCAGAGAGGGGATGGAAGGACTCATCGTCCTACCTGAAGTTTTAACAGTAACATGCCTACAAGAAATCCTGGTCCAAGTACTGTGCTTAAACCCCCCTCTTTTCATCCCTAAAGGGACAGTTATTGCCCAAGCTTATTTATTACCAAACTTTACCACGACACCTGATGACCCACTAGTAATGTGGGCCCAAATTCTAGGCTGCAACAGACCCGTGATAGAGTGTGTGCTGTCCCAGAAAGGAAAAAAGATCCACCTTTCAGGACTGTTTGACACCAGAGCAGATGTCACCATCATTTCCCGCTCTGAGTGGCCGAGAGATTGGCCCCTTGTCTCAGCAGCTGGGGTCATCTCAGGCATCGGGGGAGCCACAACCAGTTTCAGAAGCCAAAAAAACATATGCTTTGAGGGACGTGAAGGCAGAATTGCCATGGCAAGACCTTTTATAACTCAGGCACAAGTGATACTCTGGGGCAGGGACCTTTTGTCTCAATGGGGACGAGACTAGAAATCCTAACAACACCACAGGATTTCTAGTCGGGGCCACTGAGCAGCGTGCCACCCTCCAGCTGACTTGGAAGACTGATAACCCCATATGGGTGGATCCATCATCCCTTCCAGAGAAGAAATTAAAGGCGCTGCAGTCCCCTGTGCAAGACCAGCTATCCAAGGGTCATATAGTACTATCCACTAGCCCTTGGAACACACCTGTCTTTGTTATTCAAAAACAAGGCAAAGACAGGTGGCAGCTCTTGCAAGACCTCAGAAAGATCAATGAGGTAATTGAAGACATGGGTCCCCTCCAGCCTGGCCTACCCTCAGCTTCAATGCTGCCTCGAGACTGGCAGATGGTCATTGTCGACCTTAAAGACTGCTTTTTTAATATTCCACTACATCCGGAAGATGCTCCCCATTTTTCTTTCTCAGTGTGTTGCCTTCTTGTGAAGGCCACGGCGACCTGGTTTCAGGGTCCAGCACTTCGATCTCCTTCGTGGGATCCCTTGTGGCCAATAACGGACGCTGACACCAATGTGGTGGACGGTTAAAGGCCTTTATTGAGGGGTTTCAAGGGTATTTATGGACTAAGGGGTCTCTCTACGTCAGACAGGGGTTTGGCTATACTTTCTAGGGTTAGTGTGGAGTGGAAAGTTACTGGCATGCATAGGTTAGGGGGGCTACACGTCTGGCTACATTCCAAGGGTGATCCTTATCTATGGGGAGGGGGGTAGAAGGATTCCTGTAATTTTCCGTTACAGCCCGAAATCTTCCGAACGCCTGTCCCTGGCCTACCACACTTCCCCCCCCTCTTTCACAAATGAACGAGGTAGTCTTATACATAGGCACTAAAATGAGGTAGGAAGTTGAGATCT